GCCACCCAGCTTCTGGTGCATGGCATTGCTACCTCTACCTCTCTGGCGTCTCTTGCCCAAGAACTCACCACATTCAACTCAGGCTTATCTCTTACTGAACAGCCTAGGTGGCTTACCTCTGATTTAGCACGTATCGGCAAACTCGCCTCAACCGTGGTCATCTCCATCACTGGACCCAAGGCTCCCTCTTTCATTGGCAAACGCCTCTCTGCCTTCTCCAATACCTACCGTACCGAGCGCCGTCTACGCTTCAACAAATACACCCAGTGTGCAAACTGCCACAAGTTTGGCCACCACAGCATCAAATGCATCCTGCCCGCCTCCTGCCGCTGGTGCCTCCTCCCTCACTCCACTGGGGATCACTCCTGCCCCACCGCTACCTGTCGCCTTCAAGGCCGTCCCTGCAGTCATACTATGCCCAGGTGTGTGAACTGTGATGGCCCACACGAATCCCACTCATCTGTTTGCCCTTCTCGCCCCCATCCAGCTACCCAAGAGTTTGAGGATGCGGAGGAACATGAAGAAGAGGTGGACATGGTTGGCTCTACATAGGTTGGGATACCTATGAGGATATTGCCCTAGGGGTGTCCCGGGTTGGCTATTACGGTGCAAGGGGTGGGCTTTATGCCTGCCTCGACTGATTGCTTAGAGGAGACTGGCTTTGTACCGCCCCTCTGCCATGGCCCTCTTGAGGGACAGTGCTGGAACGTTTTCCTGGGTGCCGGGTGGGGTTGATGATGGTGGATTTATTTTGTTATGATTTTTATGAGGATTTTTGGCGCGAGATCGGACTGCCGATGGTAGTGATTTTTTGATTGTGCTGGGATTCCCGTGGCCTGGCTAGGTGGGACGGGTAGGTGCTAGACTGTTGATGGGCTTGTACTTTAGCTTTGGTGTTGGTGCTCGCTCACCGGAGTGGTTAACGGTACAAGGCCGGAGGATTGGTATCTTGTATTTAGTTGCCTGTATTTTGCGGGGGTAGCAGGGCCCCAGTCCCAGCGGTGGATCCCGACCGGCGTTAAGCTCCTGTCGGGGGGGCGCTCGATCATAAGCCATATTTTGGCGCGACGAGTAGAAATAAACTTAGATTGAATTTGGACACCTGTACCTAGGAATTACACTCTCTACTATCTGGCGTCCTCCTGAACCCCTGAACCCTGACCCTGAACTCCTGAACCCCGAACCTCGTACAACTCGCTTCAGTTGTACCCCCGCACCTAGACCTCGTCTCCAGATTCCTGCCTGTCCTGATCGTGGTGTGCCTTGGGCTACCCGACCCTCAGACCTTGTCCGTTACAGGATCCCACCACCTGCCAGCCAGCCGAGGAGGGCCTCCAACCGACCAACCCCCAGGGAGAGAGAGGGCCCTGCGACGGTAGACCAAAGTCAATACCCCGGGCGTGAGAGGAGAGAAAAGCCAGACTCCCCTAGGCCGAGGCCAAAGGCAGGAGTGGGCAGGAGAGTGGAGAAAGTTTCACAACGAAACAAAAAACTTACGATAAAAACCGTGGTGTTGAGTTTTCAATCGCCGGAGGTGTAGCGGAGACGGAAGATGCTTTAAAAGCTAGGGAGGCGCCTCGATATTTATAGTCCGTGTCTGGGTAGTCGCGCCCTACATCCAATCCCTTACTGACTACGTACCTACCAAACTAACACTTCAGTGTCTTTGGAGTGCGAACTCCGTTTGACCCTGAAAACTAACTTTCCCACTCTCTTCCTGAATGGAGTGATCAGCTCCGTCAAAAGACTTATCAATGACTCTTCTATGTGCATAGCTTAGAGTGCATGACGAAGATAACTAACTTGACCAGTGAGTAGTTATTAACCAATCGTAACTAGGTCTTCCGGATGACTCTAGTTTACACGAGCTAATGGGACATGCATATTACTTCTTATAATTGCATATAGACTTGCAGAGGTCGTAGCTCTATAACTAACCAACCAATCTGAACCAACTAAGTCTTATCTTGTAGAGCGGAGCTCCTTCCATGTTATCCAGTAAAAGCCCCTCGGTTTCATGCCTTGTATCTCCATGGAGTGGGCTACATAGATGCCTTATCGTTTCGTACGATAATATGATATCGTCACAATAACTACAGCGGGGCCCGGAGTCGAACACGTGACCTTATGCATTTAGTCACGTGCCATACCGATTACGCTTCTATGTGTAACAGCTACAGCCTGTTATGAAAGTGGTCTATCCTGTGGCAGCGTTTTGGCGGAGTTCTAGTTGAGTACTAACTTTGACGCTAGATTGCACCAGCGTGCTTTGGACGCAGCATGTGATACTCAGTGGTCTGGCTCTAGTCGATGCCAGCCTTCTAATGGTACCTCGGACATCTACTCAGTGCCAATATTGGTTGAGTTACAGGCTGTTATGAAAGTAGTCTTTCCTGTAGTAGAGTTTTGGCTGAGTTTAGGCAGAGTGCTGACTTTGATGCCAGATTGCCCGGGTGTGCTTTGGCCCCAGCATCCAGGACTTGGCGGCCTGGTTCTACTCGACGCCACCTTTCCAACGGCATCTTGGACGACTTCCTGGCGCCAATAGTGGTAGAGCTACAACCTATTATGAAAGTGGCTTTTACCCTACCAGAGTTCTGGTAGAGTGCTGATCTTGACGCCAGATTGCCTGGGCGTCCTTTGCATGCAGCATCTGATACTCAGTGCCCTGATTCTACGTGACGCCAACCTTCTAACGGTATCTTGGACGTCTACCTGGCACCAATATTGGTAGTACTACAGGCTGTTAGGAAAGTAGTCTTTACCCTGGCAGAGTT